GGCTTACAAACTCCTTTCCCTTCCCCTCCTCACAACAGACATCCTGTGAGGTAGGTGGGGCTGAGAGAGCTCTTGACAGAAACTGCTCTTTTTCAAGAACAGCTCTTATCAGAACTATGGCTTGCCCAAGGTCATCCAGCCAGGTTGAAGCGGAGGAGTGGGGAATTAAACCCGGTTCTCCCAGATTAGAGTCCGCGCACTTAACCACTACACCAAACTGACTCTCCCATCCAAGTACTTGCCAGAGATGGCCCTGTTTAGCTCCCAAGATCTGACGAGATTGGTTTGCCTGGGCTATCCAGGTCAGGGCTATAGTTGTTCTTAATACATTGTGGTAACCTCAAGGGTTTGCTGAGGCTAGGAACACACAAGTCAACAAGAGCATACAACTGTCAGTAGCACAAGGCTGACTTAAAGTGTCAGGTAACTTATGGGCTGAAAAGAGTTCTCCTGCCAGACTTACTGAGTGTCTTTCAGTTTCCAACTCCTTTCTAAACAGGGCAAGTCAGCTTCTTACAGTACAGAGCTGTCTGAAAACTCATCCCTTGATGATGGCCAATCAGAGAAAAAAGACTTGCCTGTCAGCCAGCAGTGGCAGGCAGAACAGTTCCTTGAATTGGTGATTCTGATGGGGAAGTTCTTCTTGGTGCCAGTTGGTAGCTGCTTGAGATCTAGTCTCCAAAGTAATGCCCAGTCTGAGGATTGTGACAATTGTCACTAAATTCGCAACCCCCATGCACAACAGTTCTATTTATTGCATTCAATAAATATGTAGGTCTGTTATGCATAGAAAGATATACAAGCAGATATTAACACTGTTAATATCTTCCCCTCCATCCATACCAGACTTGAAATTATTGTTGTGGAATTTTATTTGAAGTGCCCCCAGTCTTATCACACAAATACAGAATATTACACTGGGAACAAAATCCTTCCTTCCTTCCTTCCTTCCTTCCTTCCTTCCTTCCTTCCTGCCTGCCTGCCTGCCTGCCTGCCTGCCTGCCTGCCTGCCTGCCTGCCTGCCTGCCTGCCTACCACTGATATGCATGGCACTCTATAGAGCACCTTACAACCAAGGAGCTTACAATCTAAAAATTTAACACAAGAACTAGGTGAGGGAGGTGAAAGTGAGTATAAAGTGGTGTGTGTGTTCATTTAAGTTACATGAATGTGTGGAAAGGAACTAATGGTCTGTGCCAAAGTCTTCACAGAAAGTTGGGTTTCTTATGCACAGGTCATCTCAGTCAAGGGGGTGGGGGGAGAAGCAGCATGAACTACCCCTTCAGGTTCTGGGAGTGATGTGCTCCATGCCATTCATTCCTGGGTCATCCTATTCCTTGCCCATTTACATTCTGCAAGTCTTTAATATTCTTCTGAAACGTAAACAATTGCAGATCCTGTGGTTCCAAGGGGAGAATTTCTTTCCTGAGCTCATCCATACAGTTACCTTCAACTTCCACACTTTCTTGGAAGTTGTCCCCAGTGTTTACTTGGCCTGGGACCAGAGGCCAAGGCAGTTTGGCTGCCAGCCGCTGCTGAGAAACAGTGGCATTTAAAATGACCCAGGTCTTGTACTTCCTGCTCTTTTTGGCTTGGCTTTCTGATGAGGTTCATCAGTGGTCCACCAATTCAGCAGCAGGAAGCCAGCAGTCTGGCTGATGGATTGGGATTTGATTAGAGTCCTGTTTTCCCCTCATGGAAAATTATTCCTGTGGGGTCTTTGAATCACAGCAGGATAGGAAGAACCATTCCAGCCCAACTTCCATTTCTTCTGAATCATGTTGCTTTTTCCATCACCTGCATGAGATTACTGTCGCTGGGATAGTTTCCAAACTTCCTACCTTCAAGGAGTTTTTTCCCCATATAAATTAGCCTGTCAAGAAACCCTTGAACAAAGAGCTGTAGCCAGTCTTCCTTGCTAAGCGAGACTTCCAGATTTCCAGGAGAGGTTCAAAAGAATTAATGGGAAACCAGTGATTTCCTCATAAACCCCTAAACAAAAATGTCTCGAATCTGTTTTTTTAAAAACTTTTTATTTCAGAACACATTGTACAGCCTCAAGTAACAGTTTCAAAATACAAAGTACAATAGAATAACAATGCAAATATTGAAATAATGCATATCTCTTAGCCTAAGCTTGGAGACCATCTACGAAAGACAAGTATATTGTGTTACCGACCCAGGGGGCTAGGGGAATAGGTATCCACCCTACCCGGCATACAATCTGAGTAAGGCGTCATAGCGTGAGCCACCTGTGGTACTGAGAGTTTGCTGGCAGGATATCGTGCGCGGTAAGATAAGAGAAAATCGGGAACCATATCGAGTCAAATTTAGAGATACAAGAGTGAGAGGTTTGGGCCCTGTGCAGCCTTTCGGTGATTTTGGCCATCGCAAATTGATCCCATACTTTGTCAAACCAGGCTGATAAAGTCGGCTGTGAGGGAGCTCTCCAAAGAGACGCTATTGTTAGTCGAGCCGTAGCCAGTAGAAGTGCAATGATTTCCCTACTTCTGCCGTCCGTTTCTATGTTACAATGATTTAACAAGAAGATCTCAGGTTTGAGGTCGAGATTGTGCGAAGTTATATGAAAAATCTGTCATCTGACCATCTTCCAGAAGTTGCTGATGATCGGCAGGCCAGGACTGGTTCCTGCCAGGCTTAGCCCCGGGGGCATTCAGAGAGTGGAAGGCAGCAGGGTTCGGCCGTGTCCATGACTTAAGGGACAAAGATGCATTCCGGGACAAGCAATTCTTTGATACGAAGCTAGGAAAGCAGACCCAGTGGTTTGAGTATTTGCAGCTGAAGAACCTCAATGAGCACCTCACGGAAATGGGCATTTTCAGGAGAAAGCTAACAACCCTGGAAAACATCATTAAGCAATACCCCAACTCTCCGAAGGGAATGATATCCAAGATATACCGGACGATCATCCTGGGGGAGATTGCTCCAAAGTTCAATTTCCAACACCGATGGGAAGAGGAGCTTTCAGTCCAATGGGGGGAGGCAAACTGGGACACGGTTTGGTCCTCTCCGGCCAATACCTCCAACATTTTTAATGTATGTTTTCAATTTTTCAAGACTTACTCTCGCTGGTATATGACCCCACGCCAGCTACACAGAATAAACAGAAGAAATGACCCCGGATGTTGGAGAGGATGTGGTCAGCTTGGTACTTACCTGCATTGTTGGTGGGAGTGCCCGATCATGTCTCGAATCTCTCACCAAGCCACAAATTATTCATGTGCTTCAGTTCTCTATGAATTGTTGGCATCCAAAATTTGTAAGCAGAATAAGCACCTTGAATTATTTATAATGCCCACTGCCCTTGTTTTAAGCAATATGTTCAGTCAGCATTCTTTACATTTTAGTGAGGAGGCTGGTGACCATAGAGAAAGGACTGGGAAGTGATTATGGCTACCATCCTAAAAACAGTTTCCTGGGATTAAGCCCCAGTGAATAAAATGGGACTTACTTCTGAGTAGACCTCTTTAGAATTGTGCCCATTGAGTCTGAAAGCTGGAACTTTTAAGCCTTTTATAGTTTCTAAGATTTCAGAAGAAACAGCACACGTGCTTTCAGGTTGTTAGCTCCAGAACTGAAAACTAGATTGTGTCTGTTTTCATTAAAAATGGCAGGCAGCTTCGCAACTCCATGTCCGGCTGTGTACAAATGTACCGTGAAACAGGATCTTGTAGCAAATTGACTCAAGCAGGTTCTTCATTTCACAATGCAACTTGATGAACTTACTGGCAATTTGAAGGTGGGTTTCTTTGTCCATCTTGCCCTTCTCCTTTGCCTGCCTTTTGTTTCAACATTTGAAAAGTGCTGTGTATGCATTTATTCAGTAAAACATACACTTGGCCTCTAAATTAAACATGCAAAAGTTATTGTGAATTGTTGAAAAACTGTCGAGAATATTGAGACAGTGTGTGGCTGCAATAAAAAAGGCCAATGCTATGCTGGGGATTATTAGGAAGGGTATTGAAAACAGATCAGCCAATATCATAATGCCCCTATATAAATCAATGGTGCGACCTCAGTTGCAATACTGTGTACAGTTCTGGTCACCACACATTAAAAAGGATATTATAGCTTTGGAAAAAGTGCAGAACAGGGCAACTAGAATGATAAAAGGGTTGGAATACTTTCCCTATAAAGAAAGGTTAAAGCACTTAGGGCTCTTTAGGGTGGAGAAACAACGGCTGAGGGGAGACATGATTGAGGTTTATAAGATTATGCGTGGGATAGAGCAGGTCGAGAAAGAAGTACTTTTCTCCCTTTCTCACAATACAAGAACTCGTGGGCACTCCATGAAATTGCTGAGCGGTCGGGTTAGAACAGATAAAAGGAAGTACTTATTCACCCAAAGAGTGATTAACACATGGAATTCACTGCCACAGGAGGTGGTGGCGGCTACAAGCATGGATGGCTTCAAGAGGGAATTAGATGAGCATGTGGAGCAGAGGTCCATCGGTGGCTATTAGCCACAAGGTATAGATAGGGACTCCGGGGCAAGTGATGCTCTGTATTCTTGGTGCTTCGGTGGGGGGACAACAGTGTGAGGGCTCCTAGAGTCCTGGCCTCACTGCTGGACCTCCTGATATCACCTGGTATATTTGGCCACTGTGTGACAGAGTGTTGGACTGGATGGGCCATTGGCCTCATCGAACATTGGCTTCTCTTATGTTCTTATGTAACTGCTCTGGGTAAGTAGGCAAAGTAATTTTGTGACCGTGTGGGTTGCAGCCAATCAGTGCCATGCACAGCCTGTTTCTGCAGCAAACAGCCAAGTAGATTCCTAGTTCCACAAAGCAGTCCGCTGAAAAGTGCAGCAAACCGGTGACCCAGAGCTGCCCTCCCTCATTACTGCATAACTGGACATAGAGTTCATAATAAGAACCTTCTCTGGGCCATTGTGTTTCTGCACGTAGATTCTGTCCTCAAGTGGCACTGGAGACTGAATTCCGACTGCTTTGACCAGCCTTTCTCTCTTCTTGTTGCAGGGGGAAAACCATTTAGAGCAGTGTCAGAAGGACACTGAGGAAGTGACACAGATCATGCTAGAAAACTACAGCAAGGTGCTGGATCGCGAGGGCAAACTGAGCGACCTGGATGACAGGGCAGAGGAACTTCGAAACCAGGTACTAGGATGGAGAGTGGGTGGGCTGGATTCGGGCAGTGGCTGGTATGTAGCTGCTTTCCAAAACAGCATTCTGACTTCCAGAACTCTCAACCGCAGCCCCAGAGTAAGCAGAAGTTAGTGCACCTCCACAGGATCAGAGAAAACAGTTTCCGCTTACTGTCCCAAAGAGCCACAGTCCAAGAGGCACAAAGCACTTGGTCGTGGAAAGAGCCACAGTCCAAGAGGCACAAAGCACTTGGTCGTGGAAAGTGCCATCAAGTGGCAGCTGACTTAAGGTGACCCCGTAGGATTTTCAAAGCAAGAGACTAACAGAAGTGGCTTGCCATTGCCCGCCTCTGTGTAGCGACCCTAGATTTCCTTGGGGGTCTCCCATCCAAGTACTAATCAGGACTGACCCTGCTTAGCTTCTGAAATCTGATGAGATCAGGAGCAAAATGCTGCTACAAACAAAGCAGCACTCTGTAGTCTCCAAAAGAGAATGCATATATTTGATTATAGTAGCATAATCAAGTCCTCTGCTAATTGGGGAAATGGTAAAATACACACACACACAGTATCGCCCACTCACCATGTTCAGCCCCCCCCCCCCCCCCCCCTCTTCTCTTTGAAACTCATCAGGCACTACTAGGACCAAAAAAATTAAAATTCTGTACCAGGCAATCCAAGTTCTGTAAGAAAACTTGAATTTTGTGACCTGTATAACTTAAGCAAATTGAGGATACTTGCATAATTTTTCTTCTTTTCTTCCTTGAAGCTTGAAGTGGCCTCCAACCAAAATTATGTATTTAAATTAGTGTCATGAACACTAACAATAGAGCAAGATGGGTAGCCTCGTTACACAGTGTTACGTAGTCTGTCTGTAGCAGTAGAAAAGAGCAAGAGTCCAGTAGCACCTTAAAGACTAACAAAATATGTGGCAGGGTAGGAGCTTTCGTGAGTCACTGCTCACTTCTTCGGATATCTGAAGAAGTGAGCAGTGACTCATGAAAGTTCATACCCTACCACATATTTTATTAACAGTAGAGTACAATTTAAAATGACACTATCATAAACAGTCATCAGTCAAAACCATGCCCACTCAACAGCTATAGGTCTTTTGGAAAGGTCACAAGAACAGAGCAGCCTGGAGCCTCGTCTTGCAGAATTTATTTTGGTTTTGCCAGATGGAAGAAGGCACTGAAGGCCTGTTAAAGCCTGACTGCTGGCAATAGCGTTCTGCCACCCTTTAAAAAAAATGGGAGTGAGATTGCTCAGTATGCCAGAGTCCTCACGCAACCAGGTTCCAAGTCTGCGCATTACGACGTTAAAACTGGGGCAGAGGCAAAGTTCTGCTTGGCTTCGCTTTGGAGGGGAACAAAGAATTGTCTGGGAGCACCTGAGGGCTTTGCCAAGGGCTAACCCTAACCCTGCGGTGGCTCAAGTGGTTAAGACGCTGAACTGCAGGCTGTGGAAGGTCAGTAGTTCAGCAGTTCAAGACCCGAGTGCAGCATGATGGAGTGAGCTCCCGTCTCTGGGCCCAGCTCCTGCCAACCGAGCAGTTCGAAAGCAAGAAATTGCAAGTAGATAAATAGGTACCACTTCAGTGGGAAGGTAACAGCGTTCTGTGCGCCTTGGGGTGTTTAGTCATGCTGGCCACATGATCACGGAAATGTCTTCGGACAGCGCTGGCTCTTCGGCTTTGAAACGGAGATGAGCACCGCAACCCTAGAGTCGGATTCGACTGGCTTTCGAGCAAGGGAACCTTTACTTTAACCCTAACCCTAACCCTGATCAGGAGCACAGCTAGGAATCCAATATGAGCCCAAGGCTGCAGGATATGAATTCTAATGGATATGTGTCCATTTGCTGTTTCCTTCTAGAGTTCTGCCTTCAGCAAGACCACAAAGACCATAGCCCAGCAGCAGCGCTGGAAGAACAGGAAATGCAAGATCATCCTGGCGGCCGTGGTTATTGGGGCTGTCCTTCTCCTCATCCTGGTAATAGTTCTTGCTCTCAGCTTTGGCAGCTCTGGGAACCAGGAGGCTGCAGCAAAAGACAGCACTGGTGGCAACTGAGTGGGAATTAAGACAACCTGAGGATCTTCTCCACCAGCCTCTTTCTTGACTCAGCATGTTGATGCTTCTTGGGTCTTGAGCAGGACTTAGCAAGCTGCCTAGAGCTCCCATCACAGATTTGTTGCAGCAGCCGTGGCAGCATGTAGAGGAGCAAGAGCTGTAACTTTTGTAGCATTCAGTGCCCATGTGCAAGTCATGTGGCTCCAGCCAAGCAAAATCTATGCTCAGCCTTAAATGGCACAACATTGTGTGTTTGCAATCCTGTTCAGCAGCAAGCTGTGCCATACATTGATAAAAATGTAAGAAACACCCTTGCATTTCTGCAGTCATGTTCAAGGAGAGAGACAGACATGGTCCTGCCATCTTCCACTCCTGAAAACTGCCAGTGGATTTAGTGTGTAGATTCTCTGCTTTTTATTATAGGGAAATAGAGAATTGCTTTTGGCAGCTGAAAGTGTAGGTGCCTTGAAGGGTGGCAGGGTAGATGGTAGATGGGTTTGAGCCATAGGATGCTCCTGTGCAACTCCCGTTCACTTCAATGGGGCTTGTACAGGAAAGCTCTGCCTGGGATTGTGCCTCGTGTTAATTAACGAGAGGAAAGGTCCCATTTAGATTTTCTGCACTAATTGTCTTGAGCCAGCCCTCCTTTTAAAAATTACTGTTATGGATATTTCTCTGCAACTGGGAACGTGTATGTTGCTTCTCAATCACATGCTGAAGCAATGACCCATGTTTTCAGTGGTCTTCTGGAATGTCACAGATGGTCCTGAAATTAGTGAAGTTAGTGATTATGCTGCAGCAGAAATTATACCTACATTTCATTGTGTTTCTCTGCTGTGTGCCATGTAGAACTTGTGTGCACCATCCTTCAAACTTAAGTCATTTTGCTTTTTTAAAAAATGTGAAAACTGACACCTTTTGCATAGGAATAAATTTTTCTGTTGTGTCTTGCTAGCAAAAGTAGTTTGGACAAAATTCCTGTTTTCTTGGTGTAGTGGTTAAGTACGTGGACTCTAATCTGGGAGAACCGGGTTTGATTCCTGACTTCTTCACATGCAGCTGCTGGATGACCTTGGGCAAGCCATAGTTCTGGCACAGCTGTTCTTGAAAGAGCAGTTCTCTCAGATTTCTCAGCTCCACCTACCTCACAGGGTGTCTGTTATGGGGAGGGGAAGGGAAAGGAGTTTGTAAACTGCTCTGAGACTCCTTTGGGTAGTGAAGGGCGGGGTATAAATCCAATATCTTCTTCTTTTTCTGTCCTAGTCAATGTTTTGCAAGGATTTTTCTTTTTAAAATGTGCATGTCCAAATATCCAGCTATTTTTCATTAACATTTTTCAACTGTTTTGTTTGTACACAACTGCCCATGTAGTATTCTCATACAGATATATTTTTCCTCCTCTGATCGTGCACACATGTAAATATTTAGAAATATATAAATCAGGACTATGTCTTCCTATGCATAGATTTGGGTTGCTTAAAAATCATAGATCACTAAGCCCATGTGGTGAGAGAAAGAATTATCACTTTTTAAATAAATGGGGTACAATGCACAATGCTCACACACACACAAAAAAGATGCTACACAGGGATAATAAAAGAAATGGCAGGATTACAACCAGGGTGAATTTGATTTAAATCACAATTTAAATCACTAATCAGTAAAGTTTCACTTAAATCATGGTTTTCTACATAAAGCCTAATTCTTGCTGGCCTTAATATTTACAACCCAGATGATTTCATTTTAGTATAATAACTTTTCAGGTTAGTTTTAGTTATGTCAGAAAATTAATGACTGATTATTTACCGCTTGAAATAGACAATTATGAAATCATTGCAAGATGAACTATCTCTGGTTTAATAGATTAATCATTCATATTTGGACAACTTTTCTGCTGTACTTTATTCGAAGGAGAAAAAATTATCTTTAACAATAACCATTTAAATTGTTTTATTTAACTAAAACAATAACATTATATAGCATATGTATTTGTGTATTTGCTTAAACATCTATGATGATCTCACAAAGATCTAAAGATTTCTGGAGTATTTTGCTCAAAAAGTTTCACTTTCATTTGTACTGCTTGCTCTTCCCTCTTCACGCTTCGCTCTTAACATCTCCTCCTTATCCTTATTAATATAAACATTCTTATATTCATTGAACTTCTTGAAACTTAGCACGTAAGATCTAAGGAGTCTGATTCTGTGTTCATAGATTTGCAGAGGACCAATAGGACTGAGGTCTCTTAACTCTGTATGTTTATTTTATAACATTTTTGCTGTGAAGAAGAGGCATATTATCTCTGCAGACACAAATTCACAGTTCTGAGAACCAAGCATCTGTAATCTTCTAGATCGAAAAATTACCCAAAATAATCTTACAGAAACCTCTGGGAGAGCATGGCATTGTGAATGGATTAATAGAATTCATTTACCAAAAAATTTAAACATTGCATGAATATGCTATATAATTAAAAACTAATCTATATTTCATGATAAATAACTTTTGGACTATAATGTATCTTAAATAGAAAACTATCTTTAGATAGATTTTTCCTCAAAAACATTCTATTAAAAATCTGATTTAAATAAAAAAAAACTCAATTTAAATTTTAAAAATCCGATTTTTTATTTTTAAAAAATAAATCATTGATTGTTATCTACCCTGATTGCAACAGAATGCCCTGGTGTTGACACATCCAAAAGCACACCTATTTGCCATACAATTCTGTTCCCTGTATACTTGTGTCTGAGCAGTTTCAGATGTCTCTGCTAGTAACATTGGTCAGTTTCACAAATGCTAAGTCATCTAATAGCTAAAAAATTATCACATTAGATAGGGTTGGCAGGAAACCTATTCAGATGTTGCTTTGTTTTAAAAAAATAACCATACCTTTTAACTTATGTAATATTGAAGTGTGTACTTATTCAACAGATAGCTCTTCCTGTACTGTTTTAAGAGCTGTCTTTTGTGACAAGCAATAAAAGGTGGATTGCTTTATAGCAAATGAGTAATAGGCATAGATTGCTGCATCAAATGGGGAGTGATTGACAAAGTCAAAGAAGATAAGTGGGAGAAGATGGAGTCTTCTTCCAAGGCTGAAGCACGAGGAGAGCAAGAAGTCTGCTGCTAAGTGCTGGATCGTGAAGCCTGATTTACACATGATGCTGACAGGCAAGAGCTTGCTTTGTGCCACTGCAGGCACCCAGCGTCTTGTTCACATTGGACCACTACTGTGCTAGCACATCAGTGCGAAGCTTGCCTAGTGCAAAGCCTGCCTCTCTGGCATGCTAACATTGCACACGTGGCAGTTGAAAGCCCAGTTTAAATGAGACCATGTGGAAGAAATGTTGTTAGTCTTTAAAGTGCCGCCAGACTCCCATTTTATTTGCAGTCACACAGGTAAGATCTTCTGTTCCACCAGCATCACATTTAAATTGGACCCGATTCTCAAAAAGTGGGCTGGCGATAAGACCTGGCAGCTTCATCAGGCTGCAGGCTGAATTAACAGCTGCCCTGTCAGAATGGAAGTTAGTCATTTCTGCTGACGTTTTCTCATTTGTAGTAATGGACATGCATGCTTTTCTGTTAGCAAATCTTTGGCTCTGGGATTTTTTGCTCAAAGGACAAAACAAAGCAATGGCATAATGGATCAGCTTAGGAGGTTGCTTCTATAAGTAGAGTTGCCAACTCTTAGCTGGGAAATTCCTGGAGATTTGGGGGTGCAGGAGCCTTGGGAGGGCATTGTTTGGGGAGGAGAGGGACCTCAGCAGGTTATAATGCCATAGAGTCCACCCTCCAAAGCAGCTATTTTTTCCAGGTGAATCAGGGCTCTTTTTGGGCAGGAACGCACAGGAACGGAGTTCTGGCTGGCTCCCAAGTTGGCCACGCCCAGTAGGAACTCATTAGCATAATAGGCCACACCCAACAGAAGGAACTCATTAGGATTGGCTACATTAGGGGTGTGTGGCCTAACATGCAAAGGAGTTAAAAAAGCCCTGGGGTTTGACAACAAACAAGGTAAACAGAATAAGAAGGGAAAGGTGGGTGTGGCTGGATGACCACACTTCTGGTAACATGGTGGTGTGGCCTAATGGGCTAATGAGCGGTGCTGTCAGGGTGTGGCCTAATATACCAATAAGTTCTTGCTGTTGGGTGTAGCCTATTGTGCTAATGAGTTCCTGCTGGGCTTTTTCTACAAAAAGAGTCCTGGGTGAACTGATCTTTGCTGTCTAGATATCAGTTGTGATTCCATGAGATCTCCAGGCCCCATGTGGAGACTGGCAACCCCATCTTTAAAGGATAATATTGTAATATATTGCAATGTTTATTGTACGTATCATCCCCCACCTTTACTGCAATTCAGTGTCTTCAAGTCAACCTTTGTAACCCTTTCTTCAGTATGGGACTTCAGACCAGAGGATTTGTGTGTTTGCTTGCATTGTTTTCCAGTTCTCCAACCCTAGCTCCATTGGATTGTTTTGCTTATTGGAGACCTTTGCTGTTTGAATTACTGTTACTAATAATTGTTATGAAGAGAACCTAGAGGGTAGAGAATAAACGCTAACAAAAGTTTTATGTATATTCTTGGGGGGGGGGGGATCTCGGAGTCATTTGCTTTGGAACAGAAGGTGGACTTCATGATACACTGGCTATTCCTTTCATGTATTCATGACAAAATCATGCTTGTGACCAGGAACTCATTAACATATTAGGCCACATCCCTGACAGCACAGCTCATTAGCATATTGATTTATGTATATTCTTGGGAGGGGGAATCTCGGAGTCATTTGCTTTGGACCATGGTCAACTTGAAGCAAACCTGAAAAACGCAAAATGTGGGCATAAGTGAGGCAGTCCTATGGGGGGTGGAGGCAATCACATAGTTCTAGATAAGATCACTGCAGGGCACTCTGCTTGGGGCTGCTCTTGAAAAGTGTTCAGATACTTCAGTTGGTGCAGATGAGGGCAGAAAAGCAGGGTATAAATTTGTAAAGAAATAAATATAGATGTTTATATCCCACTTTTCTCCCCAATGGGGACACAAAGCAACTTACAACATAATTCTCCCTCTATTGTATCCTCACGATAACCCTGTGAGGTAGATTCAGGGTAGCCATGTTGGTCTGAAGCAACAGAACAGAATTTGAGTCCAGTGGCACCTTTAAGAATAACAAAGTTTTATTCTGGGTATAAGCTTTCATGTGCACGTAGACTTCTTCACATCTGAAGCTTATACCCACTTTGTTGTGGTCTTAAAAGGTACCACTGGAGTCAAACTTTGTCCTGTGAGGTTAGGCTGAGACAGGGTTGCTGGCCCAAGATCACCCAACAAACCTGGCAGAACAAGAGTTCGAATTTGGATCTCTGAGAACCTAGATCCTAGTCCAGTATTGTACCTTAGAAGTAATAAGTGGGTACCTATGACCAGGCCGTTAAGGTCGCAAATCTCCTTTGGGAGAAAGCTCCACTACGTTTAAAGATTAACTTCCAGCAGACACCCCCTGAATTGAGTCGCAAGGAGCATAAAGGCTGGGTAACTGGCTGATCAACTGCCCCCCGTCTTGAAGGCCGCAACAGGACCAAGGGCCACACACAACACAGCGACCGACTTCCGAGTTCAGAACGCAATCCCTCCATTGCAAAGGCTACGCGCTGAGTCAAGAGCACGGGAACTAATCCGGACTCGGAGCGCCTCGCAGCTCGTCCTGATTGGCTCCAGCGCGCAGTCCTATCACTTCCCCCCCAGCCAACCACCGAGTCGCTGGCTGCGCGTGGGCAGTTACGAAGCCACGTTCGGAGCCGGATGAAAACGCGCTGAGTCGTCTCCGGGTTTGTTTGTCGCACCATGGCCTCCTACTTCGAGGAGCACGACTGCGAGCCAGGTTCTGGGCCGCCGGAGACGCTGCATCGCCGGGCGCTGTTGGAGCTGGCTAGGTGGACTGACTCAGCCCCCCCAGGCTCCAGGGCCCTGAGTGTCCGGCAGCGGGTGGGGGTGGGGCGTATGGCGACGCCTTGCAGGGGGCTAGTCCCCCTCGCGGGAGAGGCTGCTGGCCTGAGCGCCCTTTTACGCGTTCTCCTCGGGAGCTAGGGATGCCAACCTCCAGGTGGGACCTGGGGATCCCCTGGAATAGCATCTACTCTCCAGACTACAGAGATCAGTTCCTCTGGAGAAAATGGATGCTTTGGAGGGTGCAACCTACTGAGGTCCTTGTCCTCCCCAGGCTCCATCCCCAAATCTTCAGGAGTTCCCCAACCTGGATCCGGCAACCCTCCCGTCCACTCTCCTGCCGGTGGCCCGGGGGGACCTAGCAACCCTACGGCTGAGCTCTTGCTTCTGGTTCTCGGGCAGGTCTCTGTTCCACGGCCTGGAGCTCGATCTGGGCTCCCTGGAGGGCGGCGACTGGGCACACCGGCTTCCTCCCCCGGCTTCCAGGCGGGTCGTCGAGAACCTCCCTACGGTGCAAGTGACGCCGCTGCAGGCAGATGCAGGTAAGTGTTATGCCGGGCCGCGACGGCGCTTCCTGGTTGGCCCCTTTCGAGAGCTTCAGTTTGGGCCTTTGCCGGAGAGTGAAACTTAGCATGGTCCCTCCGCCTGCTTTCCCGGAACAAATAGAATCTACTCAACATGAAACATGGCGGTATGATTGCCGGGGTGGGGGAGGTGCGTTTTGAACGGAACGCTTCCGGTTCTGTAGCTCTTCACTGTTGCATCAGAGAAAGCCTGGGCTTTTCCTGGCACCCATAACTTGGTAACACAACAGGAAAGGCCCCGTCTGGGAGGCACTTCCTTCGGCCTGGGACGGTGGCAGGGGTGTACACAAAACAGCCTTGGAAGATGAGTGTAATCTAGGGCTAGGGCTGACCCTGTGAAAAAATGAGTCCATCCTTCAAGGCTGCACGCACTGGTTCCCCACCTCCCTTTTATCTACCTGACAATCTTGTGCGGTAGGTTAGGCTAAGAGTGACTGGTTCCACTTGGTGCACTTTATGGAGAAGGGGTTTTGAACCTGGGTCTTTGAGATCATAGTGTAATATTCTAACTTCAGCCCCTTTTTGATATATTGTAAGCAATGCTCCCTCTAAGCTCTGGAGTCTTGTGAGCAAAAATTCTCATTTGTGAGCTACGGGCATTAAAGTTGTCAGTGAGCGATTTGGCTACTGTATAAACTAGTTTGCTCTGGAGCCATCCTTCCTAAGCTAAGACAAAAATGTGTGAGCTGGAGGCTAAAAACCTGTGGGCTAGCTCACACTAACTCAGCTTAGAGGGAACATTGATTGTAAGTGCTTGCTTTGAAAAGATGCATAATCAGTATCCTGGGACAAGTTGTTGACCACACTTTGGGCAGGAGGGAGAGATGCAAGAGCTATAGGCATAGGGCCTGCTGAGGTCCAGCATCACTAATAAGAGTCACTGCTGTGTCTCGGTTTCCACCAATGTTCTCTTTTTGTGGCCAGGCCAACAGTGGTCTGCCCCTGCTGCTTTGTGTATGTGTATTCCTGGATCTTGTGAAATGTGCACCTGTTTCTCATGAGGAAATCCAAACTGCTCACTTATTTTTTCTCAGCTGTAAGGCAATGTTGTGATTAGCAGGATCTGCTTTTTCCTCTGTGCTTTTCCAGTGTGATGTAGTAATTAAAAGTGTCTGTCTAGGATCCGGGAAACCCAAGTTCAAATCTCTCATGGAAGCTTGTTGGGTGACCTTGGACCAGACACACACACACACACAGAGCCTAGCCTACATCACAGGGTTGTTGTGAAGCTAAAATGGAGGAGGAGAGCCACGTAAGCTGCTTTAGGTCCCCAATGGGGACAAGGTGGGGCAAAAAGGAAGCAAATAAAAATGTTGCTCTGGAATTCAGAGCAGAGTATATTATTGCAGTTTTAAAAATTGTAATTTAAAAGGTACTATCTATCATGGGTTTTCAAATATACTTTAAGGTATCGGGTGGTTCTATAAAAGGCTTTGGTTTCCAGGGGATGCTGCTTCTGTCTCTCCTTACATAGGTTTTCTTTACCCCCACCCTGGCTTCCTACTGCCGAATCCCACAACACAAATTGATGCTTTATATTTGGAGGAGGGGGAACAAACATTGAGTGTGCAAGTGTCTAATTGATAGTGTATTCAGGTACGGTTTGCCTAGGTCTGCATAAGGAGTTGGAGTGATCTTGGAGCCCAGTTTTTAGGGGATTTTGAAGCTGAGTTTGACAAGTCATAGCCATTCTCTGTCATAGCCAGAGCATACCGCCAACTAAGATAATTGTTTCCCTTCTTTCAGCGTGTCTCTCTTCTGCACTTTTCCAGGGTTGAAGTGTCCTGTATGCCTGCTCGAATTTGAGGAGAACGAGGTGGTCAGGAAGATGCCGTGTGAGCACTTCTTCCACAAAGACTGTATCCTTCCCTGGCTTGGAAAGGTGGGAACCACCACAGGGAGATGTCCTTACCTAACACTGATGGGGGATGGCATTTCCTGGGACTCTGATGCTTAGTCTTCCTTTCTTTTCCAGACCAACTCCTGTCCCCTCTGTCGTTATGAACTGCCTACTGATGATGAGCTATATGAAGAGTTCAAACAAGACAAGGTGAGTGATGGGCTGTAAATCTGGAAGTGCTCAGTTCAAAGCTCACCGTTGCCTTGAACTAGAGAGACAGACAGCCTTAGGCAAACCACTGCCACCTGGCCTCCCCCATTCATAATAACGGCTTAGCTTACAGACTCACTTTATTTCTCCGGGTGGTGTATCAATATAGCATTATTGCAATCCATTGAGCTTTAGGGAACTATAAATAGGTAATTCCCTGCAAAGACCCACAGCTTGGGATGGGGAAAGTTAAGAGATGACTGAAGATGCAGCCACATGTTGGGGTGAGACAGACAGCCTTAGGCAAACCACTGCCACCTGGCCTCCCCCATTCATAATAACAGCTTAGCTTACAGACTCACTATTTCTCAGGGTGGTGTATCAGTATAGCATTATTGCAAACCATTGAGCTTTAGGGAATTATAAATAGGTAATTCCCTGCAAAGACCCTCAACTTGGGATGGGGAAAGTTAAGAGAAGGTGACTGAAGATGCAGCCACATGTTGGGGTCAGTCTATCTACCTCCCTACCAATGCCTTTATTGTATCCAGAAATGCACCAGTGTTGTAAGTACAAGTTATACATCAACAACAATATTAATAATTACTGTATGGCATTTCATGTGCAATAGCCAGGAGATGCGAAGATTGTCTATCAGCCTTAAGTTCTAAATCTTTTCGTGAGCTAGGCTTGTTTTTTGGGGCTGAGAGAGCTCTGAGAGCTGTGACTGACAGATTGGAGTCCGCCACTCTTAACCAGTACACCACACTGGCTCACACACCAAGAAGAGAGAGCCCAGTTCCAATGTCACCTCTTGTAAGCCCAGCAAGATGGTCTTAGACAAAGCTATCCCTGCAACCACTAAACTTATTTTACAGCTAAGGTGATAAATCTTTTCGTGAGCTAGGCTTTTTTTTTGGGGCTGAGAGAGGTCTGAGAGCTGTGACTGACAGACTGGAGTCCGCCGCTCTTAACCAGTACTCCACACTGGCTCACACACAAATAAGAGAGAGCCCAGTTCCGATGTCACCTCTTGTAAGCCCAGCAAGATGGTCTTAGACAAAGCTATCCCTGCAACCACTAAACTTATTTTACAGCCTGTACTAAAAATTATGCCAGGAATAAAAGCAATGCACACACTTAAGAGTGATTATTAAATTTGACTTAGTGCTACCATAACAACACTCCACAAAGAGGACCCTGGAGGAGCTGTGAAAACCTTTGAACTGAAGGTACATGTTGGGGAAGCTGAACTATGGTGCAGGTATGCCTGAGCTTTCCTGCCAATTCCTATCAAGTGTGTGACCATGGAGAAAATTCAGGGGCATCTGGCAGAGCTGAAACTGCCACTCTGATATCTGCTGTATTGTTTAGCTAAATGCCTCCAAGTGAAAACTGGACCCTTTTCTATGCACTAAATTTAAGAGTAACTTCCTCCTCTCAAGTCCCTGAATTGTGCCACATGCCAATTGAGGGGGGGGGGGATGAAACCCAGCATTTGCCCCTTCCTGTAGAACAGAATTTGAGTACAGTAGCACTTTGAAGACCAACATTTTGTGAATCACAGCTTTACTGTCAGATATAGTATTTGACAAAATGAGTTTGACTCACAAATGCTTATGCTCTGGAAAATGTTGGTCTTCAAGGTGCTACCGGACTCCACAACTACAGACTAACAGTTACCCACCTGAATCTTTGGTTTTTGTGCAACAGATGCGAAGGGAGCAGCAAGCACACCGACTGGAGTACCTTCATGGGGCAATGTACACGTGACACATCCTTTCCTCTTGAGCGTTCCCTATTTCCCCCCACCGGGGGTGGGGGGTGGGGATTAACAGCAACCTCTTCCAAGGCTGGCAGGGACCAGGATGCTCTTGGCACAGTATTCCTCCTCTTCCAGTATCTGGCCATGGGCTCGTCACACAGAAATATTGCCTTCTTCCAGGAGTCCAGAAATAAATTTCTCTATGCTTATTAGATTGTTCTCATGGTATACCTCTTCTACATCCTTTCCTTGCAAATTTTTTTGTGTGTCTCCCTGGAAAGGATGGAAACCTGTTCTTGGGTAACTGTTCTCATCTTCTGACTTGACAGAAAAAACATAAGCTTGGTGCCCTATAGCTACGTACTGGAACCAGATGCGTCTGCTCTTGTTTTGAAAGCTACATCTTGGGCAAAGCATCCTTCACATAGTTTTGGGATGTATGTGCCTGTGTTTTTAAGACATCCCACATTTGTGAACATTGCCTCTTCTAATCAATGTAGATGCTAGGGGGTGAATTTGGAAGGGATGTATCTGGGTCAGGCATGTATACTACCAAATCATACTATATGTTATGAATGCCATGAAAAGAGACTCATGCAGAAGAGTTCTGAACTGGGAATATATACAGTGACTCCAGCCAGTCAAACTACCCTGAAGTTAATTTTTGTATGTAGTTGCACCCCCAATAGGCTAGGGGCTGGCACAGCAGTGGTAGAAATTTGTGTGGGCTCCTACTGGCTGTTGCCCCATTTCTCTCCACTTGTGCTCCCTTTTGCTATCGCTTCATCACAGCATTTGGGGGATGCGTTGTCTGCAGCTGGCTCATATGCTGCAGATGTGGCCTAGAAGCACACTGCAGTTATGTTCCAGTATTCTGGGAATGTCTACTTGCAGTGTTCTCCAGTGGCAAAGCTGGGCTGTGAGCCTGGAAGACCTTAACCCCAGTAGGGTCACTTTCCTCCCCTTTTATAGAACACATAAAATGGTTGGAATCATGGTATGGTCCTCTCTTCCCACCCCAGCTGTCTGGCTTCAGGACTTCTAAAATCTCACAGCCTGTACTGATAACAGTTTGTGGGCAGGCCCAGGAACAGGAGTGCAAGAAAGAACAAGCAGCCCTGAAACCAGACCTTCTACTTGTACTTTAGTTCTGGCACCCAGAAAGAGCAGGGCTGTGCCTAAGCTATGAGTCTGTGCATTAGCACTCAAAGGGGAAGCCAAGGACTCTGCCTTTGGACACTGGAGTAGTTCCATGGACACTCCTGCTGCCTCTTCCCTTCCAATTTCTGGCTTGCACCAGAAGGGACTAGGATTTTCAAGCAATTGCTGCAGCCTAATGACTGTATCAAACTTAAACCCTAGCCACCATAAGGAAGTCTCAGCAGTTGGGGCACTTCTGGACAGTTGAGGCTTATTTTGCTGCTGGTCACCTTCACGGCAACGCTAGCCCTCCCTTGGGTGCAGGGCACATGGGAACAATCAGTACACGGAACTGCCCCAGAGAGTGAAAGGGCCCCTTCTGTTATTTCTTCCCCCAAACACAGGACAGGGTCGCTTTGATACAATTCTCTTTATACACAATTTATATAGAGATATAAAAAAAGTTCTAAAAAATATCCAAACATTTCACCCAAACAAACCAGCTCAGACAAGTGGGCCCGAGGACCAGAAGCGTTCCCATTGCCCATCCCAGTTGGCAACCTATCATGGGAGAGGTCAGGCAACACAGTGTTATGAGACCGTCTTGCGACTTGCGAGAGGGCGGGTCCATCCTTCCACTTCCGGCAAGGCCCCGTTTTGTCGCTTGCCCTTCCTCCGGGTACAGTGTGAGGCATTGTGGTTTGTGTGTTGGTAAGAGACGTACTCCCTATATGCCGGGGAGGAGGAGCCCATCCAGACTGGGAGTGGGTAACCTTGGTCACAAGAACCATCTGCACCTCCTGCATTCCTGTAGCAGCTTGTTTATGTCCATGTACTTACACTGAAAGGTAAGTGGGGAGTGGCAGTGAGACGCAATCAGATACTCACGAGCAGCCATCATTACAGGCACCCAAATAGTCATCCCCAAGCCTAGGTGGCCAAACTCTGGCCCCTGCTCTCTGGGAAACTGGAATCAGGCACTGTTTATAATGAGGCTGGAAACAGCAGAGGTTCCCTTTGGCACTGGGTCACTACCCCAAGGGGGCAGTAGAAGGCTAAGGCTGCAATCCTTCCCTTGGATCAAGCCCCCGTGAGTAAAGTGGGGCTTCTGAGCAGACCTGCCTAGGGTGGTTCCATAAGGTACCATAGCGAGCCTGCTGCCCACCAAAGATGAGCAGGGAAGGTTGCCATCATCCAAGTTGTAGCTGGGGCATCCTTGAGAGCTCTGCTGCTTTGCAGAACGTCTCCCTTCCTCCAGCACCTAGACATAAACAGGCTCCAGCTCCCAGCTGGACAGTGGCACTCTGAGTAAGGAGAGGGAGGGGTGAGGGAACTGGCAGCGATAACACTCTTTTTAATTAAAAAAACCCCTTTTGGTACAAAAAACCACCAGGAGGGAGAAGATGCCCCTCTTCCCCCATTGGGGGAAAAAAAGAAAAAGATAGGCAGCTCATTGCTGCTGCAGGACGGGATGGCCAAGCAAGCCTTCCTGTCCCTCCCTCATATCATGGCGATGCTCTCAGGGTTACAGTTGAGGTGGGTGGAGGTGCTGCTGCTCCCTGGGGACTTGCACCCCCTGCTGTTCGAATGCTGCAGCGCAGCCACCAAGGTGTCATTGGAGACGGCGCCAAACTCGTAGGTGAAAGTGCCGTAGAAGACCAGGATGTCAATGACAAACAGCCATTCGCAGATGGCAGCCAGATGCTGCAGGAGGAAGCTCTCATGGATGAAGAAGATGCCACCTGACAGAGTTGGGGTTAAAGGAAAGGCACGAAAGCTTTGCAGTTCCAAAAGCAGAAAGGGGGGGGGGGGTCTGTTTGACAGGGAAAGCAGACTGCAGGCCAAGGTTAGTTTGGAGAAATGAGGTCCTGCTAAGCTTTGGCTGGACGCTGCGGGGAATATGATCCTTTATTGCTCGGATTGCAAGGTGGGGTTTCTCTGTGCCAGGATTCCAGCATACAGAGCCTGCTTGTCTGGTTAGGTGGATGTTGGTTTGTCCCATAGTTTATCCTTTGCCCACAAACAGACCAGCATCCCAGCCCCCTTGTCTGAAGCAATGGACTAGCACAGTGGGCTACAACTGTTCCTGTGCTGGCCACAAGCAAGGACAGGTGTGTGTGTGTGGTAGTGCAGTGGTAACAAAGGGCATCCCCAGTTAAATGGACTCGATAGCAGGTCCTGAGACTTTGGAAGAGCTGCTGCCTGTTAGAGGAGACAATAGTGGTCTTGGCCAATGATCCAACTCAGTAAAAGGCAGCTTCATTTGGTGGCACACAGCCTGCTTCCTCCAAGCTCCAAGAACTTGAGTTGGGGTTTTTCACCATGGAGACCCTCTTCAAGCTCACCCAGGAGAAAGGAAACTTCTGGTCTATGGGAATTCTCTCCAGATGCATCACACTCCTTCCCTCCTCTCCCCCACCCTCCAGTGACCTGGCAATCGTTACCAGAAAAGGATACTGAGGACAAGAGAGATTAAGGCCACAATAGTAAGAAAGACGCGGAGATGCGCCATCCAGAAGTCCAGGGCAGAGACTGCAACGTGATAGGTGAGGACGCACTGGAGGCAGACGAACAGCAGGCCGGCTGGGAAGGCAACACCAGCTCCGATGTAGTGAAGGGATTTGGCATAGTCCACCTACGACACAGGGAAAGGCCAAACGTAGGAACTGAAGGCATTTTGCTCTACTCTGGCCTCCAGCCTTTCCCAGAAAAAGAAGACAAGTTTGGCATCTGTCTAGGCCAGAAAGAATCACTGGGGACACACACACACACCCCTTCCTTTTATCCCCCATTTTGAGATCGGATGCATACAATTGAATTGGCATCTCTTCTTGCACAGTATGAAGAATTGTTTTTATACCCTGCTTTTCTCCACCCTAAGGAGTCTCAAAGCAGTTTATAATCACCTTCTCTTCCCCTCCCCACAACCGTCACAGGTGGGGCTGAGAAAGTCTTGAGAGACTGGCCTTAAGGTCTCCCAGCAGGCTGCATGTGGAGAAGTGGGGAATCAAACCTGGTTATCCAGATTAGAGGCCACCGCTCTGAACCACTACACCATCTTGGTGAATGTCAGCTGTGGAAGAGAGAGCCTTCCCTGCCTCCCACCACCTCATTCACAGCACCCTAAATTCACTTCTTCACCTTGCTTCATGACAAAATCACGTCTCCTGAAGCTACATCTCCCTCCCTCCCCAAGTTGGAATGCAACAGCAGTCTTCATTCACTTTCCTACACTGGACACCAACTGTTCTAGGAGTTTCTCCCCTCTAATGCTCTCTGTTTCAGCATGGGCCAAAATCCATCTTCCCTAATGGCAGGGGAAAGGGGTCACTCTTGAGAAGGGACCTCACAATAACACATGAGAATGGACTTCACAATAACTTTCCGAAACTAAGACTGCTTTGCTGCTTGGGGCACCATCCATCACTGCCCCCCCCCCCCCCCCCCCCCCCCCCCTGGAAATTGCCAACCACGACCAAGCCTGCAGCATTAGTACAGCCGGTGATCAGCGCTGTGGTGTTCACCCAGGAGCTGTGGCTCTGCTCTATCAGCTGCCCATAGCGTAGGAAACAGATCACCAACACTGTTGGGGGAAGCAAGAGAGACAATTTGGGTCCTTGTGGATCTTTGGGTATTAGAGATGCTGCTCCAAGTCTGTTCGAAAGAAAGCAAAGCAGCACTGCCTTTTTATATCTCATAAGCTGGGCTGCAATTCCATGAGAGTGCAGAAAGGTCCAGAAAGCGCTTAAAATGGCAGACATCCTTAAGAATGCATGGCCTATGACTGGTAGAATCTCAAAAGCCAAGGAAGTAGATAGGGTTGCCAGTGACTTAAGCTTTCACTGTCCTGGCCTTTCACATGACCTATAAGCCCAAAATACATGATGCAAAGTAGCAAGGGTACAGAATTCTACATATTTGCTCATACTGCACAGTGTGTACAGGTTTTCACAATTTTGTCTGGCAGTTTAACCTGCATGGAGCTGCGGTGGCTCAAGTGGTTAAGACGCTGAACTGCAGGCTGTGGAAGGTCAGTAGTTCAGCAGTTCAAGACCCGAGTGTGCCGCATGACGGAGTGAGCTCCCATCTCTAGTTCCAGCTCCTGCCAACCTAGCAGTTCGAAAGCAAGAAATTGCAAGTAGATAAATAGGTACCACTTCAGTGGGAAGGTAACAGCGTTCCATGCGCCTTGGTGTTTAGTCATGCCGGCCACATGACCACGGAAATGTCTTCGGACAGCGCTGGCTCTTCAGCTTTGAAACGGAGATGAGCACCGCAACCCTAGAGTCGGATTCGACTGGCTTTCAAGCAAGGGAACCTTTACCTTTACCTTTAACCTGCACTGATGCATAATCCTCAGACAGAACTTTATTTTCTTTGTCATCACAGACCAAGATAATTTCTGCATATTTTATTAGAAGGACATGATTAATTAGAGCTCTCACCTAATTCAAGATACATTTGATTGTTTTTAATAGCTTGGATTATTTTTATATACTTAGCTTGGTTCTATATACTTGTTGGTATTTTATTGTTTTAGTTGTGAGCTGCCATGGACAGGTTCTGGAGAGGTGGCAAAGAACTTTCCTAAATAAATAAATAGTTTATTGTAAACCTTTCAGTGGCAGATGCAGGGTTATGGAACAACCTCCCCAGGGGGTGCACCTACCCCTCCACTCAACCTTTAGAAGGCAGCTGAAGCCAGTTTTATTCATGACAGCATTTGTTACGTTTCAGTTCTTCTGCCTATGAGCAGTTTTAAATCGTTGATTTTATTTTTTTAATAGTTTTGCATTTGTGCATGTGTGTGCTTGTGCCTGGAAGACATGGAAACCTCCGGCGACTCCTACTGGGGGCATGGAGGACATTCAGAGAAGTGCTTTGATAACCTGCCTATGGCCTCCCAGCCCTGGTACTCTCTGGAGGTCTCCCATCAAAATACTTGCCAGGGTCGACCCTGCTTAGCTTTGGAGATTCTAACGAGATTGGACTTGCCTGGTTATCCAGGTGACGGCTAAACTGTTGTTTTTAAATGGGTGATATTAATGTATTTTATTGTGTTTAGTTGCTGTTTGTATTGTAAGCCACCTTCAGTTCTTGCAAGGTAGAAAGGCAACTAATAAATGTTTTAAATAAATAAGACTGCATGAGTTTTAAATTGTTTAAATTGGATGAACAAACAACAGCTGTGGGGGAAAGTATTTTTTAAGTATTAAAAGCAAGTTTTTAAGGAATGTCCGCCCATACCTCTCTGTGTGCAAGGGAGGGGGGATCTTCTAAGGTAGTGTCAGCCACCTGCAGATTTTGTAAGTATGTGCACTGAAAAAGTGCAGTTACCATTTAAAAATCAGCTTGATTTGCCAGGGTACTTTTTGATCACCTAAAAAAACCCTTTAAACTAGTTGCACCTTCAGACTGCTTACTTTATTAATTAATTTTGCAGTCCTTTGAGAACTTGTTTCTGACTTGCTTATATTCCCCCATTCTTCTCACAACACTAAACATCACACAACTGCAAAATGCATGTAAAAATTCCTGACAGCACCATAAGAAGGCAGACGTTCACACTGTTCCTTGGGAAAGTGCCACCCCACTCCCACAGAACACAGGCATCCTCTCTCTAGTGAGTTGTGTGCTGTTGCCTTGCACTTTCTGTGGATTTGGACAGGGGAGAAGGGAGAAGAAGCTCAGTCAACTATTGGATGTTTGAGTAACAGCAACTGGATCATATACTGCACATGTTTCTTAGACAGTCTCAAGATGGGTTAGTCTGTCTGTAGCAGTAGAAAAGACTAACAAAATATGTGGCAGGGTATGAGCTTTTGTGAGTCACTGATCACTTCTTCAGATACAGTCTCAGTCAGCATTTTTTCCAGAGCACTATTTATTATTTTTAATGTGCATCTTGTGTGACTAAAAACAAAACAAAAACCCTGGGTTGCAAACTCTTCAGCATGTATGTGCAATAAGCCCTGAAGCTGAATGAATACTTCCAGGAAACCCTTTGTCAAACTTCAGGATGCCCCTCCCAGGTTACCTCTGCCTCTCGAGCAATCAGGCACGGTCTTTCCTCAAGTCCCACAGGCCAGTATAGCATCAACTGCCAAGTAGATGCAGTTTCCTCTGCAATGAGACTTCCTGTATTCCCCTTGAAGATCTGGCACCCACTCTGGAAAATTTTGCTCAGCTGCAAACCTCCCCTGGGCAATAAATACTTCAGGAAGGAAGGAGACACACTGCCAATAAGCTGCAATGGCTAAAGGCTGGCTAGCTAGCTTAAGGGTTAGTGCCACTGGCCAGCTTTTCATCTTCCTAGCCAAGTTGTCAAAGGTTGCCAAAATGGGTGAAGCACTTACCCATAAAAGCCCCAACATTTCCAATAAGGCTGAAAAGGCAACTTTCCGGAGGGTAAGTGCCACATTTACTGCAGGAAAAACAAAAACTAAATGGTTACCAAGGCTGAGAGGAACCGACACAAATGCATTCAACCCCCCCACAAAACCTTTGCCCAGTTTATGACCGTCTAACACCTGGATAAGACACCACACCTGGCAAAGCTATTGTTTCTGCCCTTGCTGTACCTAAGCTGTTCTCTCCAGGCCAGAACTGGCTTGTCCCCAGAGACAAAGGAACAGCTGCCCCCCGTTTTTGAAGATCCAAGCTTCTTTCCTTCTCACCTAATTAATGGGATATCCTCCAAGGTGCAGCAGCTTTTTGGGTAGCCACGCTTGGCAGATTCAGAAGAGCACGACTCATTGTAGGACCTGCAGCAGTTAGAACATATTAAATTGGTGCTGTAGAGATCTCTGGGTAGAAGGAAGCAAATGGAACACAATAGGTCTTAAAGGATTTTATCCTTCTGCATGATGTAAAGACTCACCAGTTCTCAACAGGGCATACATGGTGATTCATCACTGCCATGGCATATCTGTGAGAAATAGAAAGAGCAAGCTTACTGTGCAGAAAAGAGGGTTTAGCATTTAAACCAGAGTGCAGCAAACATGCATTAAAATAGCAGTATAATGGGTGAGGTGAAAAACAACAATTGTTCAAAGAATAGTCTATTCTACCCCCCAATCTTTTCAAGCTAACTTCCTAAAGTTATATGTGCTGTATTAGGTAAAAGCAGCTGCCAAGCAGTTTAAATGTGCTCAATGAACTAATATGGTGCAGGATCTATTACAAATGTCTCTTAAATGAGTTCCACTGAAGTGGATGGGAATAAGATTTTCTAGGACGCCCATATGCAGCCATTTAGAGAGGAGAATGTATATCTATGGGAGACTTCCTGAAGATATAAAGGCCAAATTCAACAGTGAACTCTTCTGGCTGCCCAACTGTAGCAAAGACAAAACCAAGTATCTCCTCTTCTCCTGTGATGACTAGCGGGCCCTATTAGATGCTTTGAAAAGGGTAATAGGACCAAGGATGCAATTGTTCCCACCCAAATAAAAGGTAAGTGCGCAACAGCAGCTTAGGGGAAGACCGACTAGGCAACAGGAAGGAACTCGTGTTGTTTTTTATTCTGCTTTAGGGTCCCATTACCCTCTCCCCCGGAATCCATTCTATTTCTGACTTGGAATGGATGGCCCTGATTTCCATCCTCCCAGGCCTTGCTTACACAGCCAATTGTCTTGAGACACAATTGCTGATTTGTTCACAGAAGCTGGAATTGAAAAGCATCAGTCATTCCACACATTAGGGATTCCAGCCTCATCACCTTTCTCTCAGGGTTAGGGGTCAAGTTGCAGTAAAAAGTGTACATCAACAGTTAGGTGTTAGGGGAAATTTCCTGCCCTTGAAAGGGCTTAGGAGCTACCTTCTCAAACCATTTTTCTGGTTTTGTTTTTACCAGAAAACTGGTGTTCCTCTGGAAATATCACCTTTGACCTCTGCTGCCTCTGCAAGCTCAGCTTCAATGGCTGTCTCCAGTTCTATCCCAACAAGTCATTCTTGAACTTCTGCTTGCTTATTTGTTGCCAATTTCTGCCCCTACTTACAGGCCTCTACACATAAATATGTCAGTGGAAGGAAATCTGCTTCCTTCTGAAGAGCAATCAAGACTAGACTAATTCAGACCAGAGGAAAGACTGATGGTCTGTCTTTTGTTCTGGGAAATAATCTACCTTATGATAGCTACCAAATGTCAGGACAGAATTAGGCTCGTACCCTCAGGCTTGTAGGCTTCTGGGTTACAGATTACTTGCAGCTTTGTACTAAAAATGCCTTGCATCTGGATCAGGGCTCCTGTGACTACATGAACATCTGGCTCTCTTCTCCTATATGAATCTGCTCATTTGTACAGGGTATTTTTGCTTATGCAGCACCAGCACTTCGCATATGATCCGCGAAGGTGACTTACACTTTCCTATAGCTGTGTAGTCTTGACTGCACAAAGCAATTGTCAGTGGCAACCACACCACTGCTCCAAAACTTGACTTAGCCTAAGAGCCAGAGCATTTTACCCAAGCTGCCTCTCAGTGACTGACGCTAGCATTATATGGGGAACTAAACTTGATTTCTTAGAAACCAAAGTGTAGCGTTGCTACCACTGATCTCTTGGAACAGAGCAGGTTCATGATCTGAACTACAATACATGGCAAAGCCATCTTGAAGATGTGAGCTGCATCTCGATATTTCTAATAGTTCTTTCTCTTTCTCTCTCACATAGTTTCCCTCTGTGGCTGCAGAAAGGTACTGCAGGGTAAGCTAAGGACACATCTCATTTTCTGGTTCTTTGTGATGAAGACAATCCACTATTGTGAAGCAGCCACAACGAGGAACCCCTATTTCACTGGGAACATGCTTGTCCCTGTGAAATTGTGGGAGGATGTACCTTTAAAGCTCAAACAGCTGCTATCATTTCTCCAAGGGAAAACATACCCACTTTGGTGATAGACAGTAGCAGGAAGCACAGCATTTATATCTGCTGCTGGAAGCACTTAATAAATATTAAAAATGTTGAAGAACAACACACACCAAGGTGAGTGAATTCTGTTAAGTCATAGCAATCAGTATAGGACACCTGCGCCCTTTAAATAACACTAAAATACAGGTATACCTAAGCAGGGTTATGTCCAGATGTTTTGAGACTATATTCAGAAAAGCAAGCCACATAAAGCATGCAAATGATTCAGAACAGGGGGGAGGGGTTTAAATCTCTCAATTTGAGATTTCTAGCATGAAATGGTTACAGTTTGAAGGTGATTACACCCTTAGAAGGCACAGCAATCATCGCTGATGACAGCTTTGTTTAACAGTATCCTTGGGGAAGCCAGTCTTCCAGCACAACCCCCAAAACAGGTTCTTATAGCAACAGGTCAGAGCCCAGGTGGATGGAGGGGATGCTTCAGGGCGGGGGTGGGGGAACCCTGATGCTTATCTGGCACAACCCACAAGTCAGCCACACATTCTTTTCCCTTTCTACAGGCAAAAAAATACCAAGGCAAAGTAGACAGCAAGTCTTACACAATCCATATTCCAGTGATTGAGAAGGCAGAGAGGCTAATGGGGAGGACGATCCACGCTGTCATTAGTGTGTGCAGGTACACAACAGGTGTGTGGGGGAGGGGGAAATTCAATGAGGGGGGAAGGGAGGGGAGAGGAGAGGAAAGGGGAAGGGGCAGGTGGGCACCAGCTACTAGCAAAAGCCTCCAACTGGAACCATTAGAAAGCACCTCCTGGAAGAGAAGCAGAAAGAGAGGATTAGTCCAGGCTGAACTGAAACAAGACTTGCCACACAGAAAACATCTACTTAGTGGGGATAAGTAAAGACATTGTAGAACCAGAATTCCTTAGCCTATCTCAAGCTTTGCTTCAGTAGAAGCAGCTTCTCAAGTCCCTTGCAAACACACAAGCCAAAATCTAAGGAAAAAATGCATCATCATCATCATAAGTCAGCCACAATGGGTCCCTGTTCTGGCCCTGTTCCAAATCAGCAGCATTAATGTGTACAATCATTCATCCAATCACACTTGACGCCATTGTGAATCAGTCCTACCTCAGGTAACATCACGACATAGTGTGTTGCACAAAGCAGCACACAGTCACCTCCCGCTCTCCCCATTAAACGGGCAGCTGTGGTAAGCTGCTAGAAAACTGGTGTCATGTGGCAAAGGCCAGAAAACTCAACCTCATACTCACACTTCACAATGCAATACTTTGTCCTTTGCAGTTTTTGCACTCTTACAGCATCAATTTACCTCCTAGTCTATAGCAGACCTAGCCACCCAATTCCCTTCTTCAGCCACTTAACAGTATCTTTATCAAGCCTAGTGGATCCTGCTGCTGAGATTACTGCCAACATTCCAGCCCCAAGACTCTCGCTGAATGAAGGTAGCTTGCTGCCTTGCTGTGGAGAAGGCTGGATTCCCAGCCAGACACCTATCTCCTAGTTTCCCCAGACCCATGCCTCCTGAGATCTTGGGTCTTCAGGGAATGTTTAGGATTAGAAGTGCCTCTTTCCAAATATTTTAATCTCATGCTTCCTAAAAATGCTGCCAAGTCAAGACTGTGCATAGAAGAAAGCCAACAGCAGGACGAGCCACTCCCCACCCCCGTCTTGGAAGCATCTCCCATATGGGCAAGGACAACTGGATGGTTGCTAGGTTCCTAGTGAAAATAAAAGATAGCCTTCAACCATGATCTGATTAGGGTTACAGCATCTTGCTTTTCACACAGGCAACAAATGTACCACTTATGACCTAATGCGTCTTGTGAACTGCATTGTGGACTAAAAGTTTAACCAAATAAATAAAATAAACCTCCATGTTCAATTAAGCTGCTTGTGCTTGTTAAATTCCATTTAGAGAGAACTAAACATGGTACTAGAAAAGTATAGCTCTGAGCCATCCCAAGTTCTATTCATATGATTCCAAGGGCCTGCAATCCATTCCAGCAAGCTAATTTTAATACTTAAAGCACCTCCCTCACACCAAAAACCAGTTTAGCTGGAACATAAGATACTCTAGTGCACGTTATTATTTTTGTTGCTGAAAACTTTTAAAATGATGCACAGAAAAGTGAAATGTGGAACACATTTTACTTAATACTGAGATGCTTAGTACAGTTGATCTCACATAGTTGCTGCCTTGGGTTTCAGTTTCCTACTGGTATTCCCTGAACTACTTCCCTGCATGCACACCCTTCGCAGAACATGGGCTTCACCATGGTCGTTTTCACATTTGCCTGTCACTCCAGATTTTCTCAGTGTTCGAGTCAAGGCAATTTACGTCCACAGAAAAACAGCATCCAAATAACCCGGGGCAACAGCAGGCTGAAACTGGCCTGACCACTGAAGGGAGGTAATGTAATGCAGAATGCGGGAAAAAGCCGGAATAAAAAGATGGCTGAATTCAATTTTAGTGCAGAATTGCTTGGAGGACATAGCGGAGAACATGGATTAAAAGGAGAGTTCAGAAAGGGCCCATATCCATTTTAGAAAATGCTATTCTCTGATAGGAGCCCTTACTACTCTGCCTCCCGATATAGTGGGAAGTTATTCTTCAGCAACATTCTAAAGTATCCGGCACAAAACTGAATGGAATAACCACTCACAATATCTTCTGATACACCTTGCCTTGCAAATGTAGATTTGCATTGCTTGATCACTGATTCACTTGTGATTTCCTCAAGCAGACACAGCTAGAAAGATTTTCAACAACAGACAACTGGAACACAAAAATAATTATTTTTGCTATCTTGTGCAGCAACATCACTTCTTTCTGGTTGTATTCTTGAAGGCTTGACATCTGTTATACAAATGTCCCAAATCCTTGTTTTGAGCACACATGTGTAAACAATAAACAGCCTCTCAAGCCTTTCCTTTACATAGGCTGCATTAGCCACGCTGCATAGACGTAAGATAGGCGGACTTTCCGGGCGCGATCTCACCGCAACATCTGGGGAGCGTAGAGCTTCCGTGGCTGACCCGTGACTACCCTCCGAAGACGCACAGTAAAAAACTAGTACCTCGGAGGTACTAGTTTCCGGGAACCGTGCGGCAAGAGCGGGCACCTGATTGCGTCCCTGCCGGACTCCCGTGGCATCCGGCGCCCGCCGGGTTGTCCCCCCCCATGCCTCCAAAAGTGCCCAACAGCGCATGCGCACAAAGACGCGCAGCGTCATTGGGGTCGAGGGAGGGCCATGGGGGGCTGCGATGGGGGTGAGCGGCAGCGACCAGGCGGAGAGCGGGCCGCGTGTCCCGGGGAGGGAGGGAGGGCTGCTGGTGGGGAGGGGGGATCTGGTGGGTTACTCTCCCTTCCCTGTGAGCGGCCCACGGACCCTGCCTGGAGTGGGCTGTGCACGGCCCTCCCAGAGGCGGCGGCTCGTTCCGTCCCCTTTCATCAGCCGGATGCTCTCGGTGGAGGTGCGGATACTCGTGTGATCGGCAACTCCACCCTAACCACGGGACCTCGCCAGGACCTCACCGGGACGTCTGATCCTGCAGTAGCACAGTATTTTGCCCCGGGGCAAACAGCCACGCTCCCCCCCCCCGCATTTTCCTGGCCGGGTGGCCGGGGCCATAGTTCAATTCCCTAATCACTCATGTATGCCATTCAGTATTTCTTATTAAGTCTTGCATACAATCACACAGAAATTTCCAAGTTCAGCTCCTGGCACCTCCTGTTAAAAGACCACAGGCAGCCAACTGTGGGAAAGATCCTTCGCTTCCTGAAGCTCTGGAAAACCTCTGTCAGTCAAAGAACACGAAGCTAGATGGACCAATGGTCTAATGAATAAGGCAGCTTTATATGTTTAATTCCTGATTGCAGCCCAATAAGCACAGTTATCTTCTGGAGTTCCCACTTTTCTTTAGGGCCATTCTGCAAAACAGTATTTTAAGATTTTCAAAAATCCTTGGCTGTGGTTGTTTCAAATTCCTTCAGTTCCAGTTCCGAGATTGGCAGGCAAGACATCATGAGATGTATAGCAAAGTATTTCCTCTGAACTAATTTCTCCTTGTCCTACACATGCACTAGATAAAGTATTACCAATTATTAACTCTTGTCATGGACAATACTTCATGTGCAGTTGGTATTTCTGTAGATTTCATAGGATACTTGAAGGAATATTGTACACAAAGAGTTTTCGATAATTGCCTCTAATAGCCAGAACTGCTTCAAGAGAGACTATTTCCCCATGGATCAGTGAGACCTCTTGCATCCAAACACACCTCCATTTCTGTTTGAACACAGTTCAGCTCGCAAGTTGTCAGAGCTTCAGAACCATGTGTTTCGAATACAAGTTTAACAAGAAAAGTCGCATGTCTGCCACAATACTGTACCTAATCCTGAAGACCTGGGGTGTACAGACATCCCCAGCTTTTCACATTGTAGCACTTCAACACATGAGCTTTCGTTTGTAGAACCTTTAGTTGCTGAAGCTGTTTCATAAATTGATAGCCAAACTCATCATCTTGGGCCAGTCGCATCACTGTTGCCATGTTTGAGACTGCCTGTCTTAGCAAAGCTTATCTTCTCTTAGAAATCAATGTAGATCATCCTTTGGACTGGGCATTTCAACTATGGCCTCTTAGATTTTAAACTATGTCTTAGATACTCTGTTTCTGACATGGCACATACACATTCACTTAGAACTGAGCAGTTTCACATCTCTCGGATGTATCACTTTCATTTTTTCATACGGTTCAATACCACAGGACACTTACCAGGCAGGCACATGAGTTACAAGTAGTATTTGTGAATCTATTTTTAGCCTGGTAAACAGCCAAGGCTCTGAAAAATGTCTTCCTAATCTGAATGAATATTCCATTGCTCTTTCTTCTGCATCAGTTTCTATTAATTTTATATCACTTTTACATTAGACCCAGTTACAGCCTGTGTATCAAAATCTACTAGCTGGGATTTTAGTGGATATGCCATCTCAGTTCCTGCTGTTCAGATTATATTTATCGCTTGTAGTTGTTTCCCAGTGTGCATTACTGATTTGTTTATTAATTATTTGCAATTATTTATAGCTTTTCAAGTCTGTGTTAGACATATCTCTGCTTTCTAGTTTTACTCATTTTAACACAATTATTATTTGCCACATTTATTGCATTGTTTCCCATATACTGGACCAAAATGTATGCTATGGCCACAGTGTTACACATAGCAGGCTTTTTGTGCATAACTCTGCCGCCCTTATTTCTGTTTGGAGCTTTCATTAGCGCTACAGTTTACTCTGAGACTGTCTTTTTTAATATTACTTTTGCCCTCTAGAGCTTTTGCTTGCTTTTCTACTGTCTGCAGCTCTCTGCAACTGCTTTGTAGCCACCTGTCCATATCCTCTTAGTTGTAGAACTAAGTTTCTCTCAGTAATTTGTCTTTCAATCAGATTTTATGCCACATACTATGAGATCTTTTACTAAGCAAGTCACACAGCAACCCAAATTCACAAATGTGTGCTAACAGCTTTAGATTTATCATTTATTGTCTCTTTAATGCCAGGTGTAACTGAAGAATGTATCATTTATATAAACATGCTGTTCTTGGTGCGCATTGTGTTTCCAATGTATGTCTTAAAACTTTTTCTCCTATCTACAGCATCATCAGTGGAAAATACTAAATGCCTCTTGCCAAGTGAAAAACAGTGCTGACTGAAGCCTATCATTTTTCTTGCAATCCTCACTTGCAGTTTGGTACAACTCACCCCCTTGTCTTTTGGGGTTTTCCCTGCTGTGCTACTTCCTTCCAAGAACAACTTTCCTGAAGCCTGTCACTAGTCCATTATTTGCTTCTCTGTTTTACTTCCAGTTCCTGTTCTGGCATGTCCTTAATATTTTGCTGCTCCAAACCTTTTACAGCTCTAACGCTTGCTGGCCAATAATGATGCCACAGGAGACTGGAATGTGGAACAAATAAACTTTTACTCATCTCTGTCTGTACAACAGTTCATCTAAAATAATGTCTGCTACCCTGCGATTCAGTGCTGGTGTCCCCCTGATCTGCTTCCCTCCCTGCATCCACTCACAGGACACGATGGTTCCTGTTATCACTGTGCACATGAACAGGGTATTTATACTACAAAGAATATGCCTCTTGGCTGGCTCTCCAGACCCCCAAACCTACAATGGGAACTTCGTGATCACAACCATTCAGTTTGCTTTGAAAAAGGAAAGCTTCCCGAGGCCTTCCCCCTTCCGAGCTGCTGCACTTTCAACAGACTTCCCAGCCAAAGCCAACCGATGCTTTCCCCGCATATTTGGCACAGCAAGATTCCCTCTGGGGATCTAACCCTCGCCGGCAAAGCAGACTTGCCAAGAGCTTCCAGACGAAGATGCCCGCCAGGCCCGGCCCTCCTCCCTCCACCGAGGCTCAACGCCAACATCCCGCGAAAGCAAACCACACGCCTCGCCCAACTCAG